TTCAACAAATGAAATGACAGCTGATATCTTAACAAAAGGCTGACCAACAGTGAAACATAATTGGTTTGTTAATAGATTGGATTTAGTTAGTAAGAAATGAGCTTTTGTGATAGTGGGGGTGTTGAAATGAATATCCCAAAAGCTTATTCAGAGTGTTCATGTTTATTTTGTTCTCATGTGTGTTGACTGTTTTGGTTGCATCCTATGACGTTGACATTTATATTTGAATGGTTATGTTTTTACGTCAATGTATTTTTCTAGAATTTCTAGTTGGTTCCATGACTTTACTAATTAAAAAAGTCCCAAACTTATCTACAAGCGTTTTATTGTTTTTTATAATAGACGGTATCAAACCTAATACAGGACGCCTCAAAAATCCTTTAGGTTGGTCCTCGTCAACCCCTCCAAAACAAAACTCATTCCTTTCACGAGAAGAAGAAATCTGGAAGACTTAATACCCCCCAGTCTAATCCAAAAAACCTTGGAGTTTGGTAGGGAAGCTAAATTTCTGGGCGTCATTCTAAATGACATGGAACCAACGCGTTGATGTCACTAAAAAGAGCGATTGGGAAAACATGGGGACCAAAACCGTCAGTTGTACACTGGATATATACCACAGTTGTAAGACCAATGATAACATATGGTGCATTTGTATAGTGGCCTAAAGTAAACCAAAGACAAGCAGTCACCGGTGCACAGCGGAGACTAGAAACGGGGCATATCGTCTCCAGCTGGACAAAAACTGCATCTCAAAACCAAATGGACACGTGGCAAGTACTAAAATAATCACAAACCCGATTTTAACCATGGGAAGCGACTATATGATGCCGAAAAAAAACCTCGAAAAACCCTTCTCCATCGAGATTGTTGAATTAGGAAATACCGAGGTAACACCCAAACAAGAAATTGTATGGTTTACTGAAGACTCCAAAACAGAAGCTGGAACCGGCGCTGGAATAAATGGACAAGATTCCAGATGCGACATTTATCAACCTCTGGGAGAATACACCAATGGATTCCAGGCAGAGATCTATGCCATCGACTCGTGTCTGAGAAAAAACGTAAGGAGGGGATACACACACAGGTGAAAACATTCTTATCTGCTCAGACAGTCAAACGTGGATTGAAGCTCTCAATAGTTGCGAAATAAAATGCAAACTTGTCTGGGAGTGCTTGGAAAAGCTCAAAAACCCAAGTATGGCCAACAAAGTAATCCTCAAATGGGCGCCAGGGCATGAAAAAAGATAAAGGAAATGAAAAAGCAGATGCTCTGGCACGAGAAGGATCAGCAACTAGTCCTGATCCGGCAATTGGCACCACAAAATCTTCGGTGAGAACAAAAATAAACCAATGGGTGTATAGACAACACCAAACTCACTGGCAAACTCTTCTGAAGCTCAGACACAGTAAGCTAATGTCTTATTGTTACGTGTAGCATCACCTAAATTTACTGAAGAAATCCTACAACCAAACAGGAATCAAATCAGGCTAATAACTGGAATCATAACCGGTCACTGTAGCCTGAGAAAACAATTTCAGACAATGCAAATCCTCCAAGAAGAACCTATATGCAGAGATCTTTTTTCTGTTACATATTTTTGAAGAGAACAACTTCTTTAGGCGTGTTCCGTAAGTTTTTTTCTGAGTAGTGAATGAGATTAAGCCGTCACGCCCGAATAGGTAACGCTCATTCGGCAATCGACTTCAGTCAAGCGAGGGAGAGAATCAGTCAGCAGTGCGAGAGAGTGAAACAGATAGCGCGATTGGGATCTAATCGAGATTCCCCGAAGAACAAATTTCGGCGACGTTGTCGATATTATTGGCAAGAATTTGCCATATAAAAAGTAATCAAATCCATAACAAAGAAGAAAAAAGAGAACAATTTTGTCTATAACCTAATTTTCAGTACTAGGGCCATCCAAAGACCTGTCAAAAAAATCAATATGGCGGTAACGGTCAAACATCTGTGATATTTGTTTATTTCACCTACGTTTTATTGACTTTTTGAAGTGAAGTGAAAACTTTTTAGTACTTTTTTTGTGGGTATACTGAATGAATTTTAGAGGTCCACATGACGATCAGTCGGAGTCAAATTTACCAGAGTAGGTAATTTACACGCAATTATAATAGTCAACCATCCAAGGACCTTTTTTTTCAGTTATACATGTAAACCCCATACTTTGTGAGTGGCTTGCTTACATCAAGTCCTACAACTTTTCCTCTACGACTTTTCTCGGAAATGGCACGTATGCGCGCAGGCGACTCGCAAACATGTCGATCTGACGTAGCTATGTTTCCTGATACATGTAGGTAATTCTAATTTTACGAATACTGTTTGATTTTTATGTCTGAATCACGGAAATCAACTTGGCCGACAAAAATAATGGCAAATTGGGGGAGTCCGATACCCCCAAAATGTCGATCTAACGTGGTTATGTTTCTTGATACATGAAAATCTAATTTCACGAATAATGTTTGATTTTTATTTCTAAATCACGGAAATCAACTTGGCCGACAAAAATAATGGCAAATTGGGGGAGTCCGATACCCCTAAAATGTTTGCGAGTCGCCTGCGCGCATACGTGCCATTTCCGAGAAAAGTCGTAGAGGAAAAGTTGTAGGACTTGATGTAAGCAAGCCACTCACAAAGTATGGGGTTTACATGTATTACTGAAAAAAAACGTCCTTGGATGGTTGACTATAATTGTATAGATACATTGTGAATGTTATAACTTTGTGAATATAGAACACAAAAAAATACTTGGCAAGATTATTAATCTCGCTTGTTTGAAGTTTTCACTTCTGTCGTGTGGTCCTAAGCATACACTCACACTGTAATTTTTGTTTTCATCAATAAATACAACATAATTTGGGATTTCTGCCAGTTTCAATTTGGGTGTTTTCGGCAATCAAATTGATCTCTATCTGAGTCTGATATGTTTTCCACCATTATACTTAGGAAAATTACATTGCTGACCCCTAAGCCCTAGAGACAGATGAGTAATTTTCACACATCACGTGACTTATATTTTCAACAAAAGATATAATAGTATAAAAACTGTTCAATGACATTCTTGCCTAGAAGTAACGGCACAGATTGTAAGAAAATGAAATTAAAAGTAAAATTTCCCTAATTGGACACGACTGCGCGCAGACGAAAGATAATTCTATACAAAATTAGTTTTATTGCATTTTGTTGGAATAGAATTTCGTAATAAAATGACGTGAAATTATAGAAGAAAAAACTGATGCATTTTACCAATTTATCTTTGTTGAATCACTTTAAAAGAAAGATGAAGATCAAAAGATTCGTTAGGTACAAGCAAACTCCGGGAGGTTTTTGGTATAAGATTTTGCTATTTTTGTCTATTACATATTAATTTATTTCATATTTCACTTCATTTCCTCAGTAATTATTGTCATGCTAGGTGGTCTCTATTATGTGTCGCAGAAATTTCCTGTACGCTATAAGCATTCACTGGAAACTTTTCACTTTCAACATTAAAAGCCAACTTGTTCCTTAGCAAATGTTTTTGTTATTTTATCATAATTTTTGTTTTCTGTAGTGAATGCAAAATTACCTGATAGTTTTGATGCACGAGTGTATTGTCCAATTTTCGCTGTATAATTGTAATACTGTGAAAATTGTCGTGTAGGTATAAAAGGTATAACAATTGGAAAAGTAGGAATCGGGAACATCTACTTAGAATAAAAACACTATCAGGAAGATCTCAAATAAGTATCGAAGGATTGAAGGGGGAACCATAATGAGGCACTGTTCGAGTTATGAGTCATCCCTCCTCACCTCTTAGAGGTGAGAAGGAGCTACTCTTACTTAATTTTCCTAAATACGAACACACCTTGTGCTGCATATTATGGGATAGCTCATTGCTTTCCATTTACAGTCTTATAGCAAAATCTTGAGTTGTACGATTAGTTTTTGAGATATCGGTATTTAAAAGTGAGTAACATTTTTGAAAACTAGTTGACTATCTCTCAGACAAAATAATTCTGTCATAAAACCAAATAATGCGTTTATTTCCTAACTCCCATCCGTCTTGTCTTAGGAGCTAACATGAGAACCCACCTCGTGTGATACCTCCTTTGAAAGCAGATAGAATTACGATAAACACATTATTTATTTTCACCGATGTGTATTTGATACTTTCATGACAGAATTATTTTGTCTAAAAGATACCTAGTCAAATTTACTAGTTTTCAAAAATGTTGCTGACTTTTAAACACCGATATCTCAAAAACTAATCGCACAATTTACGATTTTACTATAAGACTGTAAAAGGAAAGCAGCGCGCTATCCAACGATGTGCCACACAAGATAGGTTCCTGTGAAAAAAAAAAACGGGTAGTTATCCCCTGAGGGGTGAGGCGAGTGCCTCACTTTGGTTTTCCCTCCAATACGTATTTCAGATCATCCTGATAGTATTTTTTGTCTTGAAGATATTCCCGATTGCTTCTCTTCAAAATTGTCATCCTGTATGTAAGAGAAATATATTTCATTATTATTAATTCACCTTATAATTCGATACATTTCCCAAGTTAATATTATCATGCCAGCTTGTTAAATTATATAGGAACATTTTAAATTCATTTATTGGAAACATTTCACTTTAATTGTAGCTCCTTTCCTATATGCTCGTATTCTTATGTAATAGTCCTATTCCATTTCCCATTCTTTAGCTCCCAATACACTTTAATATAAGGTTTTGTTCAATTTATCAATGTTCACCAATAATAGTAGTCAAGAAATAAATGTTTGCTAAATTTCTGCCAAAAGATAGGGCAGCAATGCAGCTTTAGATATTTTTATTTCTAGTCAGAAATGTATATTTTGAATGCAATTTTATGCGATGTGCTGAAAAATTTGCGAATTTTTCAAATTGTCTCAAAAAAAAATGTCACTTGATGTATTTTTATTTTTGTTTCCACAAAAAATTTATAATTAAATACATATAAATATTATTCAAAAAAAGATTACTTACCGTTACAATAATTCTCATTTTGATACCTCGCACTAAATCCAATCGAAAGCTGCACCACCTAGTTCTTGCACCGCGAAAGAACTAACGCCGCACACAAAGTTTCGAATTATCACCACAATGGTAACCCAGAGTCTATTTTCTTTGCAATCGCGTATGTTATATGTAACAGTGAGAGTGGACTTCAATGTCTTGTGGTACCACAAAGCTGGGTTCTCTTTATAACCTTAGTCGGGGCGGAGGTACCTGGGGGAAGCTATCAAGAACCGTGCATTTAAATCTGAGTCATTTGTTAGTATTTTTATATAATATAGTTACTATCGTCTGTCATTGAAAGGCCAAAATGCTATCGCAGATAATCACTCGATTTGTCTAGAAAACTCGTTTATTGTTTGTAAGGTACCTATATCGAGATATATAGGAGGTGAATAGGTTAAGGTCGGTTTTGAATATTTTCGCGTTTAGAAATAGAATGGAAATGGCTTAATGGCTAATAATAATTGGTGTTCTATTTTATGTATGCCTTACAGGCTAAATACCTAAGATACTTTTAGGAACATATTTTTGTGGTTAAGGTAAATCTAGATCGTGAATTTTAACCAACCCAACGTCTATTTCAATGATAATTTGTATATCAATAAATTAATTTTTGTATATATTTTGTTTAATTGTTTTCCAATTTTTTTGAACTAAATTGTACAGTTGTGCCAATTCTCAAAAGCCACAACTGTACCTACCTAACAATTTGTTATACAGAACTAATATGTGTAGGCACTACCTTCCTTATTTTTCAAATGATTATAAAAAGTGAAAGTAAGAGTTATTTCTTCTTTAACTCTAACCCTGAAATGGTGAAACAGGGATGACATATTTTATTTCAAAATTAAAAATTGTTCAAAAAAGTTGGAAATGTACCACTTCTGTTTCAGACATTATCATGTTGGTGAAAATTGATGCTTAGACGGAAAACTGTAAAATACGTTGCATGAAAAATTAAATTGATAACTGTTTATTGCAAACTGTAGGAAATCGAAAAAAAATCTATACGTATTTTTTTATTTTGTCCAAATATGATTATTCCGAAAGTTATACAAAGATTAAGTTTTGTATATATAGATATACTGAGCATGGTGTGACGTCATAGGATATGAAAAATAAGCACATTTCAAAGCGTTGTATCTCCGTCAATTTTTGTCTAACAAGAAAAAGAAAAAACACGTGTTGACTTATTTTTCATTGACAAACGAAATCAGCAATAAAAAAATTGATGCAAGGAGCCTATTGCTGACAAGTTTCCATTATTATAAGAAAAACTAGCTGTACCCGGCATGCGTTGCAATGCCATGCAAAAAAAAATATATTTCATTGAAGTTTATTGCAGTGCTTTTGGATTTACAATATTTTTTGGTGTTTAAACAAACTCAATCAAGCAAATCATCGAGACTCGACTTAAAACTAACTCACCGGTTGGTACGTACATGAATAAGTCAGAGGGTTTTTCGACTCGTGAGCAGGCAATATATATGTCTATGGGAGAAACATGGATTTTCCAAATTAAACCGTTGTTGAAAAACGATAAAACGTCATACCAGAGTCGCTTGCCAGAGAGTTCGGTACAGTTCTGGAGAGAGTCTTATATCATCTGTCATATTTTTATCATATAATAACGTAAATCAGCGGAATTGGAAAGACTTTAACGAATCAATTTTATCAGATGATTTTTCTATATTCAGATTAGCAGTATTGGTAATAGCAAATAATTCTTGAATTCTATTTGTGCCATCTAAGGTTTGAATATTAGCCATAATGGGAATAGATTCAGCATTCACTGAAGTAATGAAAGGACCCCGCAATATTTACGAATGGAAATTGGTTACCCATGATAATGGGTTGAAATTTAAATATTTTATTGGAGATGGAGACATTTTTTACCTACGAGCGTGCGGTGAAGTGCACTTTACCGTACTTATTTGCAAATGGAAAGTAGTACTTAGTAGTACTACTTAACTTTACCGCATAGTATGCGGTAAAGTAGACTTTTGGTATTCATGATTGAAAATCCTTTCTTTTTCAGAAAATGGATTTTTGATCATTTCTAAATCTAATCTAATTTCATTAATTAATCTGATTCATTGATACATTTTATTAATGCCTTTTTTTAGAGATGTAGATGCTCATGGGTAAAATTTTGTACCTAACACATGCGGAAAGTGCCTTTACCGCCCTTAACGGCTTGACCGAACTCCGCTTTCCGCTTCGCGTCGTTCGGTCAACTGCCGTTGCGTGCGGTAAAGTATCACTTTCCGCATTTGTTAGGTAAATAACTATTACCATGGGCACAACATGTATATATGACAGGTGAGGCGGTGTTAGCTGTCAAATATTGGAATCTAATATCCAAAAGCAGAGTAACTATGGCAGATTTTGTTGAACAAAATATTGGCTTCTACGAAGTCGATCAAGGAAAATTGAAAAATGTCAACCATTCCGACCTGTCACAGTCACGGCCCTGCCAAACGGCAGCACTCATATTTTTCAGTTTTCGATATTTTGTGATATAGGCTCATATGAATAAAACAGAAGCAAATGCTTTTACTTAAATTTTTTGAGATAAACATATTCAGCTGTAATGCAGCATTATGTCATTTGACATTTTTAACTTGTATTGTTTGTAAATTCTGAGTTCAAATGTGTCAAAATCGTTGACATTTTTTGATTTACCTTGGCCGACTTCGTTAAAATCGATATTTCGTTCATAAAAATCTGCCATAATAGTCACTCTGATTTTGGATTAATAATGACCAGTAACACGTCACATCGCATGCGCCGGCTGGTGCATCTGCTTACTCCCGCTATATGATAGCTACGCCACTGGCTCAGTGATGCATTTTAAGTACTCCAGAGCTGCTCTAGAGCGTCCCGGGCTATTTATAGGCGTTCCAGTGTATCAGAGTTTCGCCCAACTGAACTTTTTTTTTTTTCGGGAATTAAAATAGGCTCTATCACTCCCCTCTATAGCCGAATTCTATTGACCGAATTAGATCGATCTGGTTCAATAGGCTCGTACAGCATATTTTTTTTATTACATATTCTGAAAGAGCGTGTTGAGTTGAGCAGTTGTGCAAAATTTCATAATTTTCCGAGCCTTCATATTTAAATAAATTATCAAAATACTCCAAATTTGAAACACGCGGTGACCAGTGGCGACGCCAGGGTTTTACGTTAGGGGGGGTCAGGCTGGGCCAGAAAAAAATAGGGGGGGCACTTGTTCTTACTTTATTGCTTTTCTTCTTTGAAATAAAAAATGGGAATTTCAAAGTTTATCCGTATATTTTTGCACTCCACCTGAACAGCTTAATTGAATCTAGGTATCATAAAGGTTTTTATTTGGATTTTGTATACAGGGTGTCCGTTTTTCGAGGACAACCATTGGAATATAGGAAACGGTAAGAGATACAAAATCGGAATCAATGGCCAAATGTGTTACTGCTTTCGGGAGATCAAGAAACTCCGAATACAATTCATAAAAATGCAAACCTCTATTTAAAAAAATAAAGTTGATGATGATCGGCAAAAGACGAAACGTCGGATTTCAAATTTGGTTACACCATTATGTAGAGGGGAGAAAGTTGCCCCAATAAAGTGAAGTTTATTTGAAATACCTTTACAAATGAGTCCAGGAAAATATAGAAATGAATTTACAAAATTTTGATTTCCATGTAGATATCTCCAGAAGTAGTCAGAATTTTCCAAATTTCGAAGTAGCGTTTTGTTGAGCAAGAAATTGCGCAATTTTGTCCCAATTTAACCGAACCTGTATCTCTTACCGTTTCCTATATTCCAATGATTGCTCTCGAAAAACGGACACCCTGTATAGGTAAATCTTCTTGATACCTTTTCAATTAACCGTTCAGGGTCGGTTTCTCGATAGCTAGTCCAGGGTAAACGTGTCCAATTGCAATGTTTACCCTGGAGTTATGGTTAATTGCTCAGACCCGGGGGTGACTTGCTTGCTATTGAGAAACCGGCCTTCAGGTGAGGTGCCAAAAATACACAGGAAAACCCTGTACTTGCTGACACAAATATGTTTGGGGGAATCCCCCCCCTGGCGTCGCCACTGGCGGTGACGTCACTGCATCTCTCACGTTGGTCGTCGTGGTGCTGGTATGCCGGTCACTTTGACAATTACGGGGATTACGGGCATTGTTTTGACAAGTTTTAGTTTGGCGTCGTTTAGACAAGTTTCCGCTTGGCATTTCATGTATTTGGTAGAACTGGATATTTTTCTTTCGAATCATATTTCGTATATTTGAATAATTCTCTGACTTTCAATATTTTATGAACACAATTAATTATGGAAGTAGCACGCGAAAAGAAAAATTATAAATGTGTAGTTCCGCCAACTCTGTGCCAAACTGTCAGTAGAAAATTAGTTGACATTCCGTTATGCAGAACCGTGTGTGACGGCCTTTAGCCTGTCTCTACTCGAGAGATGACGTCATACCATCTCTCAGCGGTGAATTTCCAAGGCATACGTTTTAATATTTAAACACGCGTAACTTTTTTTAAGTTTATCCAATTAAGCTGGAACTTTTTTTCTGTGCCATATGTGAGTAATACCCCATAAAAATGTGAAAAAACGTAGTTAATGAAACTTCACTGAACGAGCCTATTTAAGTGAACCACACTGTGTTCGATTGAGGTTGGATCAGTGCATCCTCATCAACAAAAAAATGATCTAGATCAAAAGAATTTCACTTAAATTGAACCCAAATCGATCTAATCTAGGTCAATCGAATTCGGTTTATATACCTATAGATTCTTTTAGCACCAAAGCGCCTTGCGTGGATTTCTTTTTGAGCCGAAAAAGAGCAACGTGATCAATTGTTTGTGCTATTCCAGTTCCTAAAGGCCAAAGTATTTTGGTAAGTGGTTTTTCTTATTCGTCTTCTCTGTGTTTCTCTATTGCCTATCTATAAACATAGTTTTCTGTTAATTATATGTACATATAGTTAAATTCCGTATATTGGACATACCTACCTATCGCTCCACGCTCAGGTTTCAGGCTTTTAATCATCACGCTTATGCCCGTATGCACTGTTCACTTTATTCTGTTCTCAGTTTCCCTTTCAACTTAAGTTTTAAATTTCGTATGCACCGCCAATAGGCTCGT